TAATTTGAGCCCACTAAATTATTTAGGCCCAATAGCCCAAGATTAGTGAGCCCGAATTTATCGCAAGTCCAAGAATCGGTGGGTCCAGATTTATCGCCATCAAACGAGTTTGTGAAAAAAAAATTACAAAATTTAGAAATATTTAGAAAGTATAAATTTAAAAATAAGTCTTACAAATCAGATTTATTTACTCATAAGTCATGAGTGAATTTTTTTTACACACTTAGCCCTCGTTTTGATAATGAAATTTTTTTAAAACTTTTTAAATATATGTTTTGTGTCTGTAAAATGATTATTTCATTAGTACTGGTAATAATATTGAAAAATTTATTAAAATGATAAATAATTGGGATATTTTATCTTTTATTTGTGAATTTTGATTTATTCTTAATTTATTAGTGTTATTGAAATATGATGATGTAAAAAGTATAAATAGTTTAATTGTACTTTTTAAAAATAATAAATTTATTATTAAAAATTAAATTCATCAGACTGACCTGTAACTATGCCTTTAAATTTTTGCAATGTAAAACTATCGACAAACAGCCAATAACAAGTTGCTCATTTTAGCATACCTTTCGCGTGAGGGCCCAATTATTAAAAGATGTGTTCAACCCATCAAATTTGATAGTATATTAATGGATTATTAATGGATTTAAAATTACATTATAGTATATTTTTCAAAATTACCTTTTGATAGTATATTTTTTTAGACATATCAATTGTCATAATTGTACTTTTTGTATTATTAATGGATTTAAAAAAGGACAAAATAAGAAATTCATATTATTTTAATAATTAATTTTTTTAAAAAATAATATTTTTAGATAATAGAAAATAAAATAAGATATTAATAATTTTGGATGGTGGGTGTACAACCTAAAAATAAAAATAAAAATAACTATTTTGTTTAGTCAAATTTTCAAGTGGAGACTAATGGTATTGTTGTTAATAAAATAAAATAACTATTTTGTTAATTTTTTTATTTTCATTCGGCTACCAAAAAATGTAGTAGCTAAAGGTAGGTCTTTGGCGACTAAAATGAATTTTGTCGCCGAAAGTTAACATTTGGCGACCAAAATTTTGGTCGGCAAAGATTAAAAAATAATTTTTTTATTTTCATTCGGCTACCAAAAAATGTAGTAGCTAAAGGTAGGTCTTTGGCGACTAAAAGGAATGTTGTCGCCGAAAGTTAACATTTGGCGACCAAAATTTTGGTCGGCAAAGATTAAAAAATAATTTTTTTATTTTCATTCGGCTACCAAATAATTTAGTAGCTAAAGGTACCTCTACGGCTACTAAATTTTTATTTAGTCGCCAATTGTCATATGTTTAGCTACTAAAAATTGTTTTAGTCGCCAATTGTAATATCTTTAGCTACTAATTTTTTTTTCGTAGCCAATAATCAACATTCCCCTACTAAAAAAAATTAGTAGCTAAAAAGTTGACTTTTGCCGACTAATATTATTTTTGGTAGCCAATTCCGTGACTTTTAGCGACTAAATTAGTTTTGGTAGCTAAAAGTGGTCGGCAAAAATGCTTTTTCTTGTAGTGCATGTGTAAAGTATTTATTTTTTGCATATATCGGGTTCGGTTCATCATTCTAACATTGTTGTCATTTCCTACTTACTTGAATATATGCGTTAAACGCATGCTTTGAGTTAAGCCATATGTCATGTTAATAAACTGAGCCTAGTAGTTGCATTTTGTACGTGTAGTCATTTGCATATTAGAGCATGCTTTTTTTCTAACTATTTCTTCTATTTTTGCTTGCCTCGGTTGAGTACTAGATGAGCATTTTTTGCTTTTGCATATTGCATGTGTGTTAGTGTTGCCATATGAAGCATATTACCATGAGGCTAAGTGCTTATTTGATATACCTCTTGAATGCCTATGGATGAAGACTAGTTCGCTTGAATCAAGATGATTTGATTAATGCATATATGAGCTGACTTTTTCAAGTAGCACATATTCAAAACTCTTTTCAAACAAAGCATGAAATCAAAGCATTCCAAAGTGAGTGACTTGGTCTATACTTGTGTGCCTCACGTAGTAAGTTAGCATTAATAAATCAGAACAAGAGCATATACTGTATATAAAAATCACATCATGATTAGTAGAGGCCAATCTTTGATTGGGTGAGTAGGGTGCTCAATTCATAACCTTCCCGTCTCATACCTAAGTTCCCTGAGCCAAGACACTTTGGTTATGATGGACAAGTGGCCTTTGGCACGTGTCACAAGTTTCCTAAGTTTCCTAAATTTTCTAAAAATATTTAGGTGGCGACTCTGAAATCTAGCAATGCAGTCCATTTTTTGCATTTCTAATTGTAAATCAATTTTCCAAAGATTTGCCAAATTTGGACTCTCATTTATGTTTTTCTATTTCACATTGCACTTGTGAAACCAGATTCAGAACCACGGGAATCTGAATTGTAGAGCTATCATATCCGAGAAGACTAAACCCCTCCGAGGAGCACAAGAAACTAGCTATAGTTTCTGGTGACTCCACTGGAGACTTAGAGAACGTGACTTGAACTTCATGATGTGAAATTTTATTTACATATGTATGTTCTTTGCATTGTATTTGCATTGGTGCTCTAAGTCATTGTGTTTTCCATCTGCTACTCCTGGATGGCTTGCCGAAGGCTTGCCTAAAAAGCTTGCCAAAAGGCCGGCCGATCGTGGGCTCTGCCATGTTGGAAACACAACCCTCGGACCTGGATTGTCGCTATACAGCTTGATCCTCCTTTCACTTCTCGGTGTTAGGTATGAGGTATATTAGGTAATCTTGCCGAGGTACCCTTTTTGACAAATCAGTCTAGCTATCTATAGTAAGGCCATAATGACTGTTCCAACATAGAACATGATGCTCACCTATATG